AAATGTCAGCACCTGAATATTATCTTAACTGTAATATGACCACAACAATGACAATGATAATAAAATGTTCACATTACAATAAGGATAAGAGAGAGCGGTATGCATTCAACCTAACTTGTAGCATATAAATACCGAAATGTACTCTTCCGAATGCACCTATGCATGTATGTACGTGTGTCGAAATGGCAGTGCGGCAACAACTGGCGTTGAGTTGTCAATTTTGTTATCATAAGCAGGTAGGTACATTGTTAGAATTTCGACTTTTCACACACACACTATCTCTTCAATGCTTCGTAATTATGATAATTTTTTAACCAAAAGCTTAACTTCTCACACAAACATCTGTTGCTTGCATGTTCTCGTCCGCACAATGACAGAGTAATTTTGCTTAGGCCACATTGTGATTGTGTATGTTCACTCTTATGGAATGATTGACCACATACACGCATTTGTGATAATTTTAGGCTTAGTTATAAGCATTAAATTATTATTAATACAAAACCAATAAAATTATGGCGTTATCTGTGTCCCTGTTCGGTGAGAAATGTCGCTTAGTACACATTTTACTGATTTTTTGCCACACCGAACACCGTTCAATAAAATTCAATAACAATTGTTACATTAGAGACACAATAGGACCCTGCAGGATATGGTCCACTGGAGTAATCCAAAAACTACGCCCTGTTATCAACTATTGAATCAACTTTATCACCCTTTTATTAGCCGATGTTTGCTCGTGTTTTAACAATCGCAATTACCAAACGAAGCTGTATGCTCGTATACAGAAAACGGGTAATAAGAAATGAAGTCAGTTTCATTTCGTTGGTTAGCTCTGCTGGTACATGGTGGAGGCGCATAAGTCTTAGAATATATTCCAATACAAGTAGAACAAATGCGGAAAATTTATATATACGAGGGGATTAACAAAAGTTCGGTAAGTTGTCCGGAGAAAAATTTCTTTATGTATTCATTCGTAATCTTCAGTCTTCAAAATCTTGCTTTCTAAGCTTAGCAAGTTCAGCATTAACCGCATTAATTATATCTTCGTTGGTTGGAAAAGGTCTTTATTTCTTTTTAACTTTATTTAATTTTTGGAAATAATCAGAAATCAAAAGGTGCCATATATATGGTGCTGGACATATTTTTTCGATCCCAGAGATCGCAATGAACTTACTCGTTTTTTCAGCAGTGTTTGATGACGCGTTGTCTTGCTGTAAAAAGTGGCGCCGCAAATCATTTGTCTTCCTGCTTTTCAAAAATTTGTTTAAAACTTTCGGTAAGCGGTCTTCGGTGTACCATTTTGCAGTTACCATCTGACGCTTTTCCAGTGAAATAGCAATGATTTAGATCGGGTGAAGTTAACAGACATCATTACTTTTGCTGCTGATTTTTGTTGCTTAGATTTTATGGGTGGGTTTGCTCCTGTTGGGCTCCATACCATGGACTGCTGTTCGGTTTCTGGATCGTACTTATAGAACCAAGATTCGTCATCAATAACGACTCTACTAAAATTGCTAGACTGGCCTGAGGAAAAATTGAGCAAAATGTAGACGAGCCTCATATAAGATTCGTGGTGCCAATGGAGCAGATTTCTGTGTGTATCCCAGATGATTACTTATTATTCGCAATACAGCCTGAATGCCATTTCTTGTGTCAATCGTGGCTCTTCGTCAATTTTGGACTTCACCAGAGCTACAGTGATAACATCAGTGAAACATTTTGGTCGACCTTCTCGGGGCTCGTCCGCTATGGAAAAATGTTCGGTCTGAAATCTTCGGGGCCACTTAGAAATAGTCTCTAAAGGCGGTAAAATCGTTCCATATGCAATTCGGCATTCAATGAATATTTGAATTTACTGTAAATTACGCTGAAACCCGAAGAGAATCACATGGCAAATTTTTGTTTGCTTTGATAGTGGAATTTGATCTGACCTATCCTCAGCTATCTTGCGTTTTCTTGTACCCATTTAAGCCGATCGTTCTAAAATATAAAAGGAAAAAAAATACAAAAATTATAGTCATCAACTGACCGAACTTTTGTCAATCCTCTCGTATTATATATATGTTTATTGGCAACAAAATAATAATTGAAATTTATATGATAAATATTATGTTAGAATGTATGTGTTGACCAAAGCGAATTGTATTCGAAACTAAGAATTATGTCCGAATGTCATTTTTCGTATATACTTCAAAAATTAACCCACTGTAGGCATTCCGTGGAGTATTTTTTGGATTACTTTTAAAACTAATCTCATGTATGTCGGTTAATCGAGTGTTATGTATAGTGGGAGTACATGGCCCAGACCTAGGACGTCGTAATGTCAATTGGAACACATTTTTGATATGGATTTTGGCTAGTTTTGGATTAATCCATTGTCGGAGTGGAATATATATTTCATGCGTGAGCGGAGTACTCGCGGTATTTGTAGGGCAGTGTAGCAGTACAGCTTGATCGCATGTAGTGTGCCTGGCAACACTATGGATGTGTTTCGTCTATGTGAGCCAGCTTAAGCTAACCTAACCTTACTATTTAGAATGACAATTTTTTTAATATTATTTAGTTTTTTTAGGAACAGACATGATATTGAAAATTAATAATATTACTTAAAAATACATATGCAAATATATTAACTGTATTATGATATATTCCACCAAAAAATATGTTCGCTCGACGCTTGCCTGGGATTTTCATAAAAATTTAACTAAAATTGGAGATATTTCTTAATTTATTGCAAATTCCCGTGATATGGATCTTAAAGATTCTGGATTAGGTTGTTCCTCACCAGAAGCCGGTGTAGATCCTTACCGCCTTTAAATGCGCAATCTAATATATAATAGGAGAGGCAGTAGCTCTTCACCTTCTCCTGATGCCGGAAATATGGAGTGCTGCCTCACATACAGTGTTGAATGGTTGAGATATTTAAAAAAAAACGTTAGTTTTAGTCAAATCCAAACTCATATAAGTATTCTTAAACTCTTTCCGTTGAATAGGGCTGAGAGCCCGACCTGCACTTTCTTTTTTTATGAGGAGCTTTTATTTCATTTCGTCAATATACATTCGGAGAGATCACAGTCTTTGCCGGGGGGCGACCGCAATTAGAAAAATTAAACTTAATCTCTTTATTAAAATTTAGTTTCTATTGGGTTGCCCAAAAAGTAATTGCGGATTTTTTAAAAGAAAGTAAATGCATTTTTAATAAAACTTAGAATGAACTTTAATCAAATATATAATTGCCATTTTGTTCGATAGCCTTTTGCCATCTTCCTGGCAAATTTAGTATACCACGCTCATAGAACTTCTGGCCTTTATCTGCAAAAAACTGAACCAAATGCGATTTTATAGCCTCATCATTGCCGAAAGTTTTACCATTTAAGGAGTTCTGCAAAGATCGAAATAAATGGTAGTCTGATGGTGCAAGGTCAGGGCTATATGGTGGATGCTTCAAAAGCTCCCAGCCAAGCTCACTCAGTTTTTGGCGAGTGACCAAAGATGTGTGCGGTCTAGCGTTGTCCTGGCGGAATATGACACCTTTACGATTGACCAATTGTGGTCGCTTCTCCTTGATGGCTGTATTCAATTTGTCCAATTGTTGACAGTAAACATCCGAATTAATCGTTTGGTTCCTTGGAAGTAGCTCATAATATACGACACCCTTCCAATCCCACCAAACAGACAGCATAACCTTCTTTTGGTGGATATCAGCCTTTGAAGTGGTTTGAGCTGGTTCACCATGCTTGGACCATGATCGTTTTCGACTAACGTCCAATTATGATTCGTTTTAAAAACGGATCGAATTCATTGCGTTTAAGGTGCGTATCACAAGCGTTGATTCGGTGTGTTAAATGAATTTCTTTCAATACATGTGGTACCCAAATATCAAGCTTTTTCACCAGTCCAAGACTTTTTATGTGATAATGAACGGTTGATTTTGGTATATTTCACTTCTCTTCTATCTCACGCTCAGTTACATGACGATCCAATTCGATTAACGCTTTGATTTGGTCATCATCAACTTCATTTGGCCGACCTGAACATGGCTCATCTTTAAGTGAAAAATCTCCAGAACGGAATTTGCGAAACCAATTTTGACACTGTCTTCCTTTTAAGGCTTCATCACCATACACATCTCGTAACTTTTTAGCAACCTGCTCCGCGTTTTTTCCTTTACGGAAATAATAAAGTAAAATATGACGAAAATGCTCCTTTGTGGGCTCCATATTAAAATTGACGCCAAACAAACAAATGTAAATAAAATTTCGCGCACTTTTTTTCTAAAGCAAGCTAAAAGTAACAGCTGATAACTGACAGAAGAAAGAATGCAATTACAGAGTCACAAGCCGTTGAAAAAATTTGGCAACGCCGACTATATGAAAAATCCGCAATTACTTTTTGGGCAACCCAATATATTTTTTTTCTATTGTTAGTTGGAAAAGATTCGAACCCTGACCGTTCAAATGGCTGTACACAATGCTACGGCTACGGAGGTCTTTTTATCAGGAACTCTTTTCCCTCGCCAGCTTATTTATTTAACAAAAATTTTTATTTATTTTAACTTATAGAATAATTAAAGAACGGACTGTACGGACTCCAGAGAAATTTTTTTCACTTTTGTAGTGTCCAACCATTCAATATTAGCTTAGTTTTCATTCCAATAGCCGCACAGTTAAATTTATTACAAAAAAAAATTTCCTACCAAAATATGTATCCATCCATTATTTATAAGTTAAAGTTCATCATATAAAAATCTCTCTCCCACTGGGAAAAAAGCTAACTTTTTCACACTTTTTTCTAGGTTAAAGAATATATATTAATATATATTCTTCGGTTACTTGATGGCAGACAGAGCTTTCAGGATATCCAAAATCAAACCGAAATATTGCGATCCCTGGAAGAACTGATCACTTTTTCTGCTTACTGTACACTCCTTTTTTATGGCACATTTGCCTTTATTGTGAATGAAAATTAAGAAGAATAAGATTGTTTATATCGTTAAATTAACAGCTGATACAGATGTAATCAGCCGGTTAGTTTGTGGAAGAGTATAATTTCTAAATAGAAGAACTTTAAAAGACAGAACCTAAATAATTCGATATATTTATCGTATTTTGCACAGTGCGTCTAAACAATGAAGGCACAATGGCTCGGTCGCCATTTGAGAGCTACGCAGACTTTTGTACTGCAACGAACTGTTATAGCACGGTCAGACGTTTGTTGTCGAAAATTCTCAACAACAGTCAGCAGCTCGTCAAAGGCTAAAATCTTAGAGAAAACATTTTTAGAAAAGGCCACTTATGGACCAGGCCTACACGAGTTCATCAATGTAAAACGCGCTCCAACACATATAAGTTCTGAGGAAATCAATGAAGAAATTCAGGTACCATACCTTTTGCCGGAAAACTATAATGGTCAGGGACGTAAAGTGTTTTTCGAAGTGTACGGCTGCCAAATGAACACCAATGATACTGAAGTCGTATGGGCGATATTGGAAAAAAATGGGTATGAACGTTGCCACGAAGCTCAGCAGGCGGATGTTATTATGGTTGTTACTTGTGCTATACGTGATGGTGCCGAACAGAAGATTTGGCATCGTTTGAAGCATTTACACGCAATGAAAGAACGTAGATCGGCACGACGCGGTCCATTGCAAATAACAGTACTCGGCTGCATGGCTGAACGTCTTAAGGAACGTTTACTAGAAAGAGAGAGGAGTGTGGATGTCATTGCTGGGCCTGATAGCTATAAAGATCTGCCCCGTTTGCTTGCAGTATCACGGCATTACCAACAATCAGCTATCAATGTACTGCTGTCACTGGATGAGACATATGCCGATGTAATGCCAGTGCGTTTGAACGCCGACTCTCCAACTGCATTTGTTTCGATTATGCGCGGTTGTGACAATATGTGTTCCTATTGTATTGTACCTTTTACACGTGGTCGCGAACGTTCTCGACCTATCGACTCTATTGTAAAGGAGGTGCAGATCTTGCGTGACAACGGAGTTAAAGAAGTTACTCTGCTGGGTCAAAATGTTAACAGCTACCGGGATCTTAGTAATATACCTTCAAACGTTACAGAGCAAATTACTAACAGCAAAGTGGCACCCGGTTTTCATACTGTTTATAAAACGAAGGTAGGTGGCATGCGCTTCGACGAACTTCTGCGGCAAGTGGCTGAAACGGCTCCAGATATGCGTATTCGCTTTACATCGCCACACCCGAAAGATTTCTCCGAAGATGTGTTGCGTGTTATACGTGACTACCCAAATGTCTGCAAAAACCTACATTTACCTGCACAGTCTGGGAACGATGCGGTTCTTGAACGCATGCGTCGTGGATATAGCAGGGATGCGTATTTGCGTTTGGTGGATACCATACGATCAATATTGCCAAATGTCGGTCTGTCAAGCGATTTTATTTGTGGTTTTTGTGGAGAAACTGAAGAGGAATTCAAAGATACATTAACACTCATGGAACATGTTCGTTACAACGTAGCCTTTCTATTTGCATACAGTATGCGTGGACGTACAACTGCACATCGTCGATATAAAGATGATGTGCCAATGAATGTGAAAACTGAACGTTTACAGCGGATGGTGAAGGTATTTCGTGAAGGAGCAACCGATTTACATAAGCTTTATGAAGGACGTGAAGAACTCATACTCATTGAAGGAAAAAGTAAAAGGTCGGATGAATATTTGTTCGGCCGTAATGATGCCAATATTAAAGTTATTATTCCATTAATGGCATTGCCCGACGAAATGGGAATGAAAAGAGAAATCACTACCGGCGATTTTATAGTAACCAGGATAAGTGGGTCCAACTCTCAGGTACTTAAAGGCACGCCACTCTACTTCAGTTCTATACGACAGTTTTATTCAAACCGTTATGAAGACAAAAATGTAATAAAATTGTAAGCAATCTGTTTCGTGTTAAATATACAATTCCTGTTTACTTTTTTTTGAAAAATTACACATCCATTGGCTCTGATTTGACCACTGTTTCAGCTTCTGTATTCCGCACTTTTGTGTCTGCCGTCAACAGCGATTTGTTATGGAAATTTGAAATAATTCGGCGGTAAAAATTAAATATTATCTGACTTGCTGCACGACTCATACATTCAGCGTCATTAAACTGTGCCATACGGAAACGACCACTAGTGTGAACCGTCACCAAGTTCTTTTCTAAGCTATCAAAAACAAATATGAAGCTGGCACGTTTACCAATAGCTTTGCAGTGATCAGGATCGAGCACTACTTTGTCATCCTTGTCGACAATACAGTGCACTGCAGCTATAGTGAACTTCATAGGAACACCACCTATGAGCAACGCCAGACAAGCACCATTTATCGCACAAGCTTCGATCTAAAAAAAAATTATATTAAGACGGAAATGTGTGATATAATTAAAACAAATTTACCCCACACCGATTATCCAATTCCTGTATTTGAATCGAAATAGTTGTGCGTGGATGCAGCACAGTCAACAACGCAGACTCGCAGGTATCACGAATTACGTTCTCCCTTAATTTGTCTTCTATAGTTGGTATTCCTGCTTTGGGGCGGTAAATACACTCCACATGTGCCTTTTCAATATTAAGATTTTGCGATTTTACTTCCACAGGACCGAGCATTGAAGTTAGTACACAGGTGTCTCCTATAATTATTTTATTCAATAAAGTGTTGAAACAATGATACAAAAAGGTGTTCGATACCTTGCGTAAACAAAGCGGATGCATCAGATCGTGTTAGTGGATTCAGTTCGCAATTTATGGGACGCAACTTTAGATCCTCTGACGAGAAATCCCCTCTCGGATCAATACTAACGTTTTCGGTTTGTGTCACCATTTTCTATTACTAATAATTAGTTTAAAATTTACCAAAATTGACAAACGATTATTGAAAGGTGGCACGAGTTATTTACATCTTCTTCTTTTTCTGTTGCCATTCCAAATAACAACTAAGCATTTAGAGTTTGCTTACACCAAAGAACGTATATTAAGGTGTAATCTGGCTGTGGCACCTCACTATTCACCTCAACAAAATTTTTCAAATTGGTTCACAGTTCTATTCCCTTCTTATTAATATACGTTCTTTGGTTGCAATAATCTTGGGCAATCTGAATCTACCTGATGCTATGAATGCTATCCACTTGTAATGAAGTCGTCGTGACGCCGTTATTTTAGAGCTGCATTCAGCTGCACTGAATGGCCGTGATAAAAGAAGAAGCATTCGCAAATTTCATTGGCAATAAATTTGTTTAACATTCCAATTGTTTATTGTCTAAAATTTTGCTTCTCATCTGTATGTATAATGTTACATACTAATTAATTTGTTTAATTTTGTTGTAGTTCTTTGTGTCAATTAAGACGTTTTGCTAGAAAATGACAGATCCTTGGTTGGTTCGAAACTCAGGACAACAGAAAACATCAGTTGAAAACGGTACAAAGGAGAACGGTGCCTCACGCCAAGAGAGAGAAATTTCTCATGAAACTCCTTTGGAATTTGAAGACGATTTCGCACCAGGGACAACGGCACTAACAATAAATAATTGTTTAAACGAAGATAAATCATCAAAGTTTTACGGAATTAATAATAGCACGTCCCCTGCTTGCATCGAACCCTTGCCCGATTCCGACACCTACTTACGTGGACTTGGTATGTTGACAAACCAAAATGACAGCAGTTTTTCTTTTTAACAAAAACAAAATAAATTAACAAACTTAAATACATACATACATGCATATCTTTACCATTTTTCCTCTATAAATACAGAAAGAAAATTGCAGAAAATCAAAAAAGGTGCTAATTTAGTAGAAGCTTTGGCAGAGAAACGTAACGACTGTTTACGGCAATTACTGCACAGTAGTGATCCCGACAACAACAATGATATTTTAGCATTAGATCAACCTTTGAACAATATAGAATTTTACAGACACCTTCAGCCAATACAAGCTCTCTCCGTTGGGGAACTGGTTCATATTGTGAACTACGATCAGCTACAACAGGAGCAGACACAAGATATCGAAAGCAAGCGCGAAGAAAGGGAACGGGAAGATAAATCAGAAAACGCTCAATAGTAGTAAAAGTTATAAACAAATATGAATACGCCATTCGGTGAAGTTTTCCTTTTTCTTACCGATTTGGCATGGAAAAGCCGTTTAACTATACCTATGTTAGTAACAACGATCTTCCTGATTATGGATATACGATTACAGATTGAAATTAATATACAAACTGGACAGGTAATACAAGAATGATTAATTTTGAAACAATTAGTATATATGTATATATATGGCTTTTTAAATTCCAATATAGGCTGCTGCTGATTTAGACCAGCTTGATGATCTCGACGATGATGATACAGATGACGATGATACAGATAACTATCTTAGTGATGATTCGAGCGATGAAGACGAAAATATGTATATGGAATTCGCACATGCTGTTGAACGCGAACAAAACGCACAGGAGCTCGACATTGCTGCTAACCGCTTAAGGCGCACGCTGGGCTTGAGTTAATATTTATTCGTGTTATTTACAATTAAAAATTGCTATATTTCGCTAGTCTATATTATTAAATGCAAAAAATTAAGCGACCCTTAACAATTGTCTAACAATGGATATTATTAAATATTTATATAAATACGTATATTGACACAACGTTTTATGATGATAGTGCTTAGAATAGTCAAAATTACGATTATTAATAAAATTTAAACATAACGGATCCATTTATAAGATTCTTGGATTTATATTTCTTATAATTTTTTTTTTTTAAATTTAAGTATTTTATATATTACATATATAGTTTTATTAATTCATCGCTCACAGCAGATGGTGTTAGAATGCCCAAATCAGTGAACAATAGTGTGATGTATGCAGGTGGTGTGTAATCAACTTGTGGATGCACTTTCGACACGTCAACCAAATGTTTACGTGAATACTAGGAAGATGAAAAAATACAGTTAAATAATTTTAAAGATATGTATACTTAATATAAATTTACTTTATATTCATCAGGTAAATCTCGCTGGTTTAGTGGAAACAGTCGTGTAAATTTAAAGCTCTCAGCCAAGACGTAAAAAGGCTTCTTCATTTCTCGCGCACATAATCCCATGGTAAAAGTGCCGATACGATTTATTATGCCGCCGCTTTCAACTACAGCTTCAGCTCCAACCATAACAAAATCTACTGATTCCATAACATATCCTGTTGCAGAATCCAAAATTAACGTGCTACTTATTCCAGCTTTCTCCAAATCAGCTACCATTTCAGTACTAGAATAAGGCAATTAAAAAAAAGTTAATTGAATGGTTCTTTTCAAAAGTTTGTTATTATTAATAGCTATTGTACGGAAATTCATAATGTAAGAACATACCCTGAGTTATCAGGTCCTCCTTGTGTCACATAGACATGAAACTCTTTATTTTTAGCTGCACTTATGAGTGCTTTTAGCACAACCCGTGATCGGGAATGCGTTAGAACACGACAACCATCTGTTACAAATTTCTTGGCTTGTTGTGCAATAACATTGCGAGAGTTCAACAGCTTTGTCAAGAATATTTTACCACGATGTAACATAATTTGTCGACACTCCTCCATATGTTTGTCATCTAAGCTCAATGTAATAAAACGACAAAATAGTTCACCTCCAGAAACGACAGCTGCTATGGATAGATCTGTGTTGCGCATAGCTGCCACCGCGTCACGCATTGTAGTGTGCAGTATATGGATGGTGTCAACTAAGCCGAACATTATAATTGTATGTAGATAATAGAAATTATTTATGAAACTTACATCGCTTCTTCTCCAGTATCATAAGTAAGGTTTTAATTGCCGCTATGCCCGAGGATAAATCCTTGTCTTGCTCCAGCAGGTTAAGGAAATAGTTTCGCACTTCCACTAAACAAAAAAGGATATTTAATCAACTTTTTATTATTATTTTTCCACTTACCAGCTGCATCCGTCCTTTGGTCACTACCGGTTGACATTTTTAATTTTAATTTAGTTAAACAAATTTCAATAAAAAACAATTTCTTTCGTGTAGTATCTTGTACCAGAATACTTATAATACATTCTCCGCTTAAACGTTGCAAAATAAGATCGTAAATAACTAATGATCCAGTTACCCACTGACATAAATTCCACGTTTTCAAATCGCATATAGTAGACATGAATTTAAAACGATACAGCAAAATTTAGTTGAAGCTTATAACATATTATAGAATATATTACTATTAAGTTCAAGAATTAAATTCAATTAACTGCAGTTTTGACTGAATAGCTTTTTAAAATACAAAATCAGAATTTATGGCAATTAACTCTACTGTAAGTTTGTACGAGACTATCTGCGCGCTTATACGCTTTGTATATTTACGTTCTGTGAGTGAACACAACAAAAAAGGAGAGAAATGTCAAACGAAAGGAAATAAAAGAAATTTCGTAAAATCAATTCATTCAGACAGATTGTTTGTTTTTGATATTTTATTTGGATATCATTATTGCAGGCGTAATGGAAAGATTAGCTAGCAGCAACTATAAATCTTCCGTAGACTCGCTTCCCAATATGAAGTCTGACCAAAATGTGATAACAAAACTGGCTTTAGCCGAAACAGCTACTGATGCCGCTTCCAAATTTAATTCGTCTAAGTGGGTGAAGTTAAATGTTGGTGGAAAGGTGTACGTGACAACGTTATGTACATTGGTTAGCAAGGAGCCTGATAGTATGTTAGCACGGATGTTCTCTCAAGATGGAATGTTGCCAAGTGAACAGGATGAACAAGGTGCCTACCTTATCGATCGTAGTGCTCACTACTTTGAGCCCATTATCAACTATTTGCGACATGGGCAACTAATTGTTGATGCTAACGTGAGCCTTGAAGGTGTATTGGAAGAAGCTAGATTTTTTGGTATATATTCGCTTATTAGTCAGTTGGAGCCACAACTAGCGCAAATTAGTAGGTCTCTAGATGATGTGCCACTTACAAGAAAAGATGTAATTAAAGCTTTAATACAAACCCCGCACGCAAGTGAATTACGTTTTCAAGGTGTAAACTTAGCTGGTGCAGATTTGCGCAAGCTTGATTTCCGGAATATTAATTTTAAGGTGGGCAACTATCATAACTTTTTGATTAAATACAATATGTAGGATAACATTAAATTGGATTGGATTATTTCAGTACGCCTGCATGCAAAGATGCAATCTATCTCATGCTAATCTAACTTACTGTTGCCTTGAGCGCACCGACTTAGCCTATGCGAATTTGGAATGCTCACAATTGGTATCAGTAAAGGGATTGTGTGCGAATATGGAGGGCGCCAACTTGCGTGGATGTAATTTTGAAGATCCCACTGGAGTTCGTACCAATTTGGAAGGTGTAAATTTGAAAGGAGCTTGCTTAGAAAGCAGCAACATGGCCGGTATAAATTTAAGAGTCGCCAATTTAAAAGATGCAAATATGAAGAATTGTAATTTACGTTCAGCTGTACTAGCCGGCGCCGATTTAGAACGGTGTAATTTATCTGGTAGTGATTTGCAAGAGGCAAATTTACGTGGTGCTAATTTAAAGGATGCTGAATTGACTCTAATGGTGACACCGTTGCATATGGCTCAAGCTATACGATGAGGTGAAGCCACGTTAAATGTAGCAATTTCCTACCTTAATTTTCCTGTGATTTAAAAAGCTATCGATTTCCTGCTTGTGCTTAAGTTCTCAAGATAAGATAAGGACATGCCTTTTAGCATACGTATATTCATGCTGGTGAAAAGCTAAATTAAGCGACATCATAGTGAGTTTATAATAAAAATATATAATAAATACAAAAAATAATTAAGAATTGCTCACTGTCGACTTTATAAGGCTTTTGATATTAGTATTTCAGACACTTTTTGCTGTCAAGATTTTCATCAAAATAAAAAATTTACTAAAATTTTTAGGTAATACTATAATTTGAAGTATCTTTGAAATTGTAACGTCTATTCGCTAAGACAACTTTTCTTTTGTATCAAGAGTGAGTCTCTCTGTATTTTTATTTGCCGCACCCGGTTCTGTCTTTACTCAGGTTGGGCAGCACTTAGAGGCAACGTAGTCTCTTCTTTCTAACATTAGGCATTTCTGTATTCATTTTTAAAATTATTGAATGCTCTCCTTTTAACCAAGGCCGGCTTATTATCATTTTATATGTAGGCTCAAGAGTCTTACAATAGGTAGATGGAAAAAAATTTGGTGAAAATCGTCACAGTTTCGTTCCAGCTCTTCATCGGACAGACAAGAAATTCTATTTCTGCAGCTGACGTGATATTTCTGTCAACCCCCCCCTAAAAACAAATTTTCTCTCGTTGAAAAGAAGAATCTAAAGCAGCCTAAAGTCAAACGGCAAGATTTTTGTGCAAGCATATTTTCGCGTTTAAATTATTTTCACGAATTTATAAGTGAAGAAAAAATTTTCGCATCGTCGGTAAAGTTGAAAAATTTGTTGAAAAAATTTCAAAGTAGTACTATCTTCCCGTGCAGTAAAGCAGCGTGAAAAGGACGTAGATAGAAGACATTCTTGTACAAGTACGAGTACAGTACGTTTAGAACCGCTGGTTGGAAGAGTACAACAACAAAAATATCGAACGGGACGAGCGATAGGAAAGAGGCAAAAAAAACGTGGTTTTTGGTAGCAGCCCAGCAGAAAATTGTCAAATTGTTAAAGAATATTGAGTGATTTTTGCATTTTATTGTGACGCTAGATAATCTGTGTAAACGTCGGAAAAGCGGGAAAAATGGAAAACCAAAACAATGTTGCTGCAACTGATGCAGCCCCTGCTGTAGAAAATGGATCAAACGCTCAAGAAGTTTCTTCTACAAGTAAGTGTTTAATTGCAATATATTATATATACATACATATGTACATACATAGAAAAATTGTTTTTCTTCAAAACTCAATTCCTTGTTTTAAATGGGATAACAGAGTTAAAATATATGCCTATGTATATAATATATAATATAGTGGGATGGCGATCAATAAAATTATTTATGATTGAACTCTTGAGACTGTAAACTTTAATTTTGAAAACGAAAATAGAAGTTTGATTAATAGATATCAAGGTCACTGGGTGCATTTGCAGCTGGCTTCTGTGATATACATATACATATGCCATATTTTGGGGATGGTTTGTTAATTTTATTTAATTTTTACCATACACGTAAATATGTGCGTATTATATAGATATATATATATACTTAAATATTTTTTACATAAAATATGTAGCCAACTTTTATGGACGTGTAGTTTAGCGGTACCCTAGGAGGTGCGTTATATTTTAATGAAGAAGCACAAATAGAATGACGTCATGAGGCACTGCTTAGGACAAACATCAAAAATCAACGTACATCAAAACATCTTAACTTGTGCTTCTTTTTTTCTTTATAAAATTTAATTTGAATTTTACTTGTTCATTACTATTACTGAGCGCATTCGATACTCTCATATAAAAAAAATTCATTACTTGCATACATTTACATATTGTAGTATAAGATTTTTTTAATGCATTTGATTGAAGCTAGGAAAGCGCGCAATTGTAAATTTGTTGAATCTTTTCTTATTTATTATTTTATTTTTCCATAATGTAACATATAGGATTTGTACACATATATATGTATGCAGTACACTAATGTACTTATGTATGTTTCTGTGTACGAAGCGCTTTCTTTCAATATTTTTATTTATGTATATACATACAAAAAATATTAAAGCGAAAATAATATTTTTCACATTCTTTATTATCACCTTTTCGCATATCATCATCATCAACCATATGAAATATTTCACGCGATCGCCGAGTTTCACAATGGTCAATATTTTATATACATATCTACAAATCTATAAGTATACAAACAATTCTATATGAATCATTACATTTGATAGTTTTTGGGTGAAGAGAAAATGGGCGAAGTAAGAGGATTTGATATTCGGCCTCAATTTTAATAATACATATTGTTGGCAATTTAATATAACGGCTTTATAACGCTATTTATATATACTTGGTTATTATTATGCTTAGCTCCACAAAGTACCGTAATTTGGAAGAGTCCATATCCCGACGAAATGCCAATATTTTGTATTTGCAAATAGATATGTATATACATATACGTATATCTGTATATATGTATTTGAGGAGCAAATATTTACTAATTGCTAAACCAGGGGAGTCATAACTACCTGCAGGCATTAACGATTAGTTTTTTTTAATAAAGCGACTATGTACAGCACTACTGGTACATGCTTGCTTATAATTTGGATAATAGGTACTTCGTATGGGTTGTTGATGATTCGTATGATTCGCTCATCGTTAATGAATGCCAACAACATTGTCGTTCATTTTCATTTTCTTATTCGTTGCTTGTCATTAACAATTCCAAATAGAAATCAGCACATTAATACAAATGTACGAAAGTATAATGTAGACATAATTGGGATGTTCTATATAGAAATTGTAACTTTTTAGTATTCTATTTCTATTGATCATTCGTTACTTTATATTATATTTTGAAAGTTTACGTGATTTGATTGTATTTATTATTACTTAATGCTTTAGTTTTCAAAGTCTTATTTTGATAAAATAAATATTTTTTTTTTGTATTCCGTGCTAGTTATTTTTAAGTCGAATGATTCAAGAATTTTAGCCGAGACCGGTTTATGACATAATATTTTGCGTTCTAAACACGATTGACTAATTGCCCATCCGTTGGCGTTCTAATCCACACATATAATATTATACTAAGAAATATTTCAAGGGGGTTAGACAATAATAGCATATTTTCTTTCGGTAAATTCTGCCGTGCATGTTAAGAAACTTTGAATGCAAACATTAATCTTATCGAAAACTTCTTATTAATATTTTTTTTAATGATTTTTATTTATATTTTATAGCGCATGTACCCGCTGAGCCAACAAAACGTTCATTGCGTGTACAAACTTGGAAGAAGATTCAAGATAACAAGTGTGGTGTTGGATTCAATACAATATTTAATCGTATACCTGGTTTCGTAGATAGTGACAAAGCTGCCAATTTGCTTTCAGAGACCGAAGAATTCAAGAAAGCGCGTAAGTATACAAAGCATTTTTGTTTAGCTAACTAAAGAAGATTAAATATTTATTTGTATACAAATTTAGAACACATCAAAGTTAACATTGACCGCGCCTTACATTCGGTTAAACTACAAACCTTACTTGCTGGCAAAACACTATATCTGCCAGCGACACGCGACTCCAAAGCTGCCTATTTGAGAGTTGAGGTACCGGCTGACGCTACTGATGACCAGAAGAAAGAAATCCTTAATGTACAAGATGTACAGAACCATCGCACCGAAATAAGTATGTACTCAGAATTTAATATTTAACTCTTTAAGTAATATAATTATGTATTTCCCCCATAAAGCTTTGGAGAATAAAGTTAAATTGGATATGGTAGTAATTGGATCGGTGGTGGTATCGCGTGACGGCTATCGCATTGGACGCGGTAACGGTTTTGCTGATCAGGATATCGGCTTACTTACAGAAATTGGTTCAATTACACCAGATACCGTAATCGCTACAATGGTACATGACCTGCAGGTACGCATTTATTTTCTATCGAAAATTTTTAAGGAAATATAGCATGCGTGCTTGGCATGCATATGCATATCTTCGAATAGAACAAAGCAAATGTATTTCAAGTTGCTGTTGACCTTAAGTTCACTATTACTCTAGTATTAGTGATAAGCTATTCATTGTGTGCATTTTCACAAATGCATTATCAGTATTTATTATAGAAATGTAATTTTTTATTATGAAATATATTTCTCGTTTCAGGTTGTTGACAACTTGCCAAAGGAGTTATTCCAAAAATACGATACACCTGTTGACTTAATTGTAACACCCAAAGAGGTGATACATGTCAGCAATCGTTTACCACGCCCCGCTGGCTTATTCTGGGAATTATTATCAGAACGTCGTCTTAAGCTAGTACCTGTTCTGCAGGCTCTTAAAGAATCCCAAGAAGAGGCAGGTAAAGTTATTGTGCTGAAAGAACAAGACACTGACATTGAACAAAATCAAAGCCAACGCAGTCGTCGTCGTGGTCCAATTCGCCGCCGATTTGGCCGTCGTAATCAACGCCGCGCTATTTCGCAAACTGACACCGAACAGCAACAGGGTGTAAGCTAATATATAAATATATTATGTAAATGTTACCAGAACCATATTTTCAAATTTACTTAACTTTTTTCACAGCAAGATCAACAGAAGCGCAATCCCCGACGTAATCGCCGTTTCACTAACCGAAGACGACGTCCAACAAAGGTAGCTTGTGATTTCTATTAAAGATTTAATTTTTTAACAAACTTCAAATTTGATTATCCTTATAGTCTGAGGGTGATCACTCGGGCGTTGAAGGCAAAAGCCAAGAGCGCAAAGGAGCTGGCGGCGATCGTAAACAACAACAACAGCAGCAACAGCGTAACCGTAAAAATCGCTTCGCACGTGACTTTTGCATTAAACTATCGAATATTACGCGAGATGTACGCGTGAAGGATTTGAAAACAGAATTGCGTAAGCGTGAATGCAACCCTCTTTACATCTCTTGGAAGGGTACGTAAATTAATTTAATCATTTAAGGTTATCTTAAAATGTCTAGGGTGTTTCTTAAATAAAAACCCATAATGTATTTTAAAATTTTTAGGTCAATTTGGTAAATGTTATTTACATTTCGGTAATCGCAATGGCACACCCAGCACCGAAGAAGAAATAGACAAGGTTCTAAAGGCGTTGAACGATTTATCGTTAACGGTGACTACCGGTGGCGGTGCTGGCGCTGGCAATGCTAGTGGAGCTGAAGGAGATGCTCCACCTCCACAACAAACAAAAACCGTATCGGTAAATGTGGAATTGCTCAAGTTTGATGAGAAGAAAGCAGGTGAAGGTGATGCAGCTGCTAATGGTGATGCAGCTGCAGGCGGTGATGCTGGTTCTGCTCGCATCGAGTCCGTCGACACCACCACAGTATAGTATGAGCTAAGGGCTGTTTTGAAACGGCTTTACTTTTGGTTGGGACATTTGGAATCGTGCGTTCAACGAGAGAAAATTGTTTAACATTCATTTCTTCCACCTCAGATATCCCCGCCCCTACATTTATACACACATATATTTGACTTTTTCTGTTGGTAATATTTTATCAAACCATTTTCGTTTCAAAACTTTTCCAAATGTTGGAAAATTTTGTTCTAATATTTGTAATTGACTAATTGTATTATTAATGATAAAAAAAAAACCAAGTAAACATTATTTTGTCTACGCGGGGACTTTTAAACCCATAGCCCAATTTCCGAGCAATGCATTTGTTTATATTTTAATTATTCTACCTAATTATTTTCAATTATATTTAATTCTTGCATTGCGTAGATTAAATTATAAAATACTCTTCTAATTATTAGCTTGCGCGCACGTTTTAACTTATTTATATAAGGAATTTACGAAGATATATATAGCAAAATATAAAATAAAACAAAACAAAAAAAAAACGAATTAAAAAATAATTCTCAACGCAATTTCCAAATGTCCTCTTCCAATTCGAAAAAAGAGCGGATCTTAAACTGCTGTCGTACAGTAAGAGCCGCGGCACACATTTTTTACAAAATGAAAATCTTGAAAAAATATATAAAAAAAAATGTTTGCTGAAAACAAAAACAAAACAAAAAGCAACAAACATATATTGATGAACTAACAATTGAAAAACATTTAAAAGAAACTTGTGCGTTTATTTTAATTAATTTAGAATATTTTCCCATTTCGGTGAGATTTTTTTTTGTTTTAATTTTTTTTCCCACTTAACAAATGTAAAACGAGAATACACATTTACTTTCCTTTTTTATACAAAAACTTCAAATAAAATATTTAACTTGTGAAACAATGAATTGAAATATAAACGAAAGAAACAAACAAAAGAAACATGTATTTAATTAAAGTTTAGAAAAGGTTAAAATAATTAGAGATTATACGAAATGTAAGACATCTTCATTAATAATAAGAAAGGATTCCAACGGTGGCACGTACTAGACGCCGAACCACCAACAAGACAAATCAGAAAAGGAGTACTCGACTTTGAGGACTGCATTCGTTTAATGTGTACCAAAAATATCCTTTTAAAAAAAATACTTGCTTAGAAGAAATAAATAAAAAATTTTGAAGGAACAGTGAGTTGGCTGTTAACCCAGTTTCAACACCTCTTTTTAAATCGACCTCACCTCAGAAGGTTTTGATAACTTCTATTATTGCACTAGAATCCTTGAAAAAAAGAATAGGAAAATTTAAATGTTCTTGATTAAAGAATCAGAGTCATCTTTACATACGGCTTAAAACTTCGTAGGATTTTGAATTCACTTAGCTATCAATCGACATTAGCATGAGACTAACGGTATACTACAGCTTCGTCTAAATGAGCTTATCCTTTACTCCCTTCCCCAAGCTACCATTAGTCTATAACGATGCAAATATAGTGCGAGTTCCAAAACGTCAACGTACATTGCAATGATGGACTTCGGCATGGTGGTGTCCGCTGTATAGTTTTTACATCTCCAAGCTCCCTTCTCCACCAAAAAGCGCCCAATTCAGCATCGTAGACAAAAACTGCTGAACAGGACGGCTTATCGACAGGCATTAATCGCCATTCACCGAGAGTCCAACCGGAACTTTCTTTCAATAAATTATACTAGATTAAAATCCTAACTATCCAGACTTGATCTAGACATACCCAACGTAAGTCCTGCATGCAATTAGTCCGCCCAATATAACACAAATAATGTTGTTGTTGTTGTAGCGGTTCGCTTGACCCCGCTTAGGCACAGGTTTGATCAGTCTAAGTCGCCGAAGTATAACACAAGTAATCGTTTCTTTAGGTCAAAAACAGCGAGTACAGTGCAGTTGCTGTTGCTAGTAGAGCTGATGGAAACTCAATCACGGGCTATAGCCCAATGATTTTTTAAGGGTAATAAGGAGGTGGTCAACAAATATTGAGAGAAGGTGAATAACGAACCAAATACCGCGAACGTCATGCAAAAAATATTGTGGAATAGAAGAAGGTAAAGTTTCGTTTCCAGTAAAAGGCGATTTTTTAAGTTTACATTTAGTTTTAAGTGTAGGCTGATCATAAGAAATACGTGTTGGTCCTAATGCATAGTGTAAATTGTCCCCTCACGAAGAGATGAAAGAGTAGGTAGATTGGTTGCCTGCGAGGAAGTTTGGATTGCGGGAGCAGTATACCTTGCCAAACGACGTGGATATTTGCTTTAGCCTAGAATTTAACTACGTTGAATCAGAATTCGTTGCCATTCTGCCAGCAGCCAATACATATACTACCACAGTATCCATAATTCTAATTTAATTATGGTTTTCAATAGCAATTGTTTATTTCACCAAATTTCAAATGCCTATAATACACAATAATAAATAAGCAGCTGATTTCGAAAAAGGGAAACTCCTTATCATTGAGGATTTGAGATTGGCGGTTTTTTTTTCTTAGGGGATTTCTAAATCTGCAAGGAGGAATTTCAGCGAGAATGTCCAAGCTTGGGCTGATAGAGAAAAATAAGATCATGGATCAAGAAACAGGATATCAGTTTATATGAAAGGGTTTGGCTCAGCTCAGCTTTTTATTTGAGTAGAAAATCAGAAATTCGAACTAAAAATTCCAATTTTATTTTTTAATGAATTTCCAAGTCAATTGAAATCGCGTAAAAACAAAGTACGTCATGTGCTCTACTCCATTTGGAAAATATCAGTAACAAAATTACGGATTTATTATTTTTTTTACATTGAATATTTTTTATTTTCTTGTGTTTTTTTTTCTTTTCTTCCGGGCCCATTAATTTGGTTAATAATAATAATAATAATTAAATTTCTACAAAATTGAATAAAAATGTGCTTAGACTTATGTTTGTTTGTATGTGGTGGGCTTAAGATTACAATCTTTGGTTTCGCTTTGTGTACGAGTTAATTGATTTTCAAATCACTTAGGAGGTTACATACATATATAATTATATTTATATACTTAATTCAAATATTCACTAACTTACGCTAATGTTTTCGAGATTCAAAAAACTTTTTTTTTTTAAATTACATGCTTACATATATGTATGAACTTTATATGCCACGAAAAATTTAATTAAAATCGTTATTTCTTGCTTTGGTGGAAATTAAACTTTCCGCACAAATTAGCGTTTTTTTTAATAGTATGTTGATTTGTTAATTATTTGGATAACCAGTTTTGTTGAAAGTTTTATAATTTTCAGAACAAGGTTTTGGTACAATTAATTATTTGTTAGATTTATTTGTGGTTCCCTTCACACATAGTTTATCAGTTTTTATTTTGATTAAAAGCATTTTTTATTTTTTTATTTTTATTTTTTTAATTTTAATATTTTTTCTTCTTTTATGTTTAGTTTATCAGTTTTTATTTTGATTACAAGCATTTTTATTTTTTATTTTTTTATTTTTATTTGTTTTTTATTTTTATTTTTATTTTTTTATTTTTTAATTTTTTTTTTCAAAAGATAGATTTAGGTTCAAGGAATCTGTTCCAGCATTCGATGTTTTTGTACAAAAAGTATGTATTGTATATGCAAAAATATTTGTACAAATGTATGTATATGTAAATGCAAAGAGAGCAACAGTTACACTAATTTCATTAGCTGATGACCTTGATTAGCAAATAAATTTTGCATTTGGCAGTAAAGAGAAATAATTTTAAAAATCCTGGTAATGCAAATGAAAATAAGTACAATATCGCATACGACATACACTTGAATAAGACCTATGCCATATAAACTAATACATAGATACATAAAATCTCATCTAGCCTTAGCTTGCCCAGTAAAAAATATTTGTATTAATACTTTAATAGAGTAATAAAGGAGTAAACCTCATACACCGATTTTCCATCTCCGAGTTGCTGCTCAATCGTTACAAAATTGATCACTTACGGAAACCTCAAATGAAAACGCTCGAGATCGAAGGGCAGCGAGCTGACAGAAACGGCGTCTGAGCCATGATTAACGGTCAGGAAATTTTTTTGTGTGTTTTGTGGGATTGACACGAACTCATCCACTAGCAGAGGTGCTCAATTTCGGTCACCAGAAGATCCGAGAGTTTCGTTGGGTGGTCCACTTTATTTTCCGACATTTCCTTCAAAGTGGCAAAAATTTATCGATCGCAAAGTTGAATATTTGAATTACGTCGGAGTATTCTAAAACCTATATCCTGAAATTATATCTATAGCAGCATATCAACTACCCTGTCAAAATACTGTCTGGAGATTATTATAAGGGGAAACCTACTGATGTCCCCATTTTATATAATTCATACAGCATTTTTACAGCTAAATATCCATGCTGACTCGCAGGCTTATAAGGAAAGAAGTATATGATTACATGCACTCAAAGTAGTAATACTTAACAGAAGCGCTGGACGATAAGCCTTAAGAATCAATCAACATTTTTCTTGACTTTTTTTCTATTCAAGCTCCTACCACTACCTTTATCAGCCGTGGGATTCGAACTGCCATATCAACTTCTACCTATGCAGACCTGACCTCGGCATACTCAACCACCTCTTTGTATTATTCCCTAAATTGATTCATCTAACACTGTTGTTGTTGTTGTAACCGCAAATTACTCTCGGAATTGGTTTTCGGGGAATATTGCGAGATTGACAGTCTTTGGCCGGATAAAAATCCGGGTCGTTCCGGTATAAAGACCCGACTGTCACGGGAACTATTGGATTTTAGTCGCCTCTTACGACAGGCATGCCTTACCACGGGTAAATTCTTAAGCCCCTAATCCTAACACTCTTTCCCTTTGGTTCGTTCCTTTACTAGAACCTCCATTCGGTGGCATAGAGTCGGTTGCTCATTTCATACATTTCATAAACAACAACATGACTAATAAAGCTGACTGAGGATATCATATTATTCATAGGGATATTGTAAAATAAATTATTTAGATGACTCCATATTCTGACAGATAACTTCAAGTTCAGATTGAAGAGCACCCTTTGCTACCAGAATTTCATAATCTTGTGTAGGGTTTTTATGAAACAGTGTTTTTTTTTAAATTTTTTTTCTGAAAACTGATTACCTTTTTTCGAGGATTCATTTAGATTAATTTAGATTAACCTTCACAAGGTTTCTACTACACTTCGTCCGAAATTGGTAGAGAGGACAGTGTAATAAGAGAATTTGCGTTCAGAACATGTTAAAATTTTGCCTCATCTCACTAAATACGAGTACATCGAATCGAGATTTCGGCAAATGTTGAACCAATGTCGTTGCCATTATCTTAAGCTAATACAAAGTCAGCTCGAACAACTCGATTATAATTATAATTATTGTAATGTCGGACTCCACATTTACGGGGCTTCCACTACACTACGCTTCTCGATAATGTTATGATCGTGATTGAAAATTCGCGATTTCATAGAGTTTGGTCTACACGACACCCGCATTTTCATTTTCCCCACTTTTTCTCACCACCTCAGGAGTCCTTATAGCGCTCCCGTGGGTTGTTGAAGGCGAGGGTGTACGATCAATATACTCTATGGTCTCAGTATCTTTTGTGATTGTTGTGTTTTCTATTTTTGATTGCTGCGTTGGCGTAGTTCCATGAATTGGGCTGTGTTGTGGACATTTCGTACAAATCGGAGGCAACGACGTCGTACCTACAACTGCTGACGTGCACGAATTCGATGTGACAACTGATGGCGACGCTGCTGATGCTACCGTACAATTTGATTTATTTGCTATTACATTGGTGGTAGAGCTACAACCGTCAGCTGTTGTTGTGTCTAATGTAGCATTTCCATTTGTCGTTGTATCCCCGCCAACACCGTCACCATCGTCACCATCACAACTAAGGTGCATAGTTGTTGGTTTTTCCTGTATAGGTGCTAAGCTAGTGACGATAGAATTGGCCATGGCATGTTCAAGCTCGCGTTGCCAATCGTTTTCTTTCTTCTCCATGGCCTTTCGTCTTAACTCTTTGTAGCGATTGTAGACAATGAACTCTTTGATAAGCACCGTTTCGGGATCACTGTCACGTTGTGCCGAACGCTGCTTGGCCAAGCGTTTCTTTTTCTTGTGCAAAGGACGTGTTTCCACAATCATTTCTTCCAATTCCAAGCATGGATCGCAATTGAGATGATCTTCGGGTGGTTTGAAAGGCGGTTTGGACTTTTTCTCCAGTATACTTTTGAAGTTCATATAGCGTAAGAGTGGCGTCTGTTGCAATTCCTGCTGGGAGCTAATGCGCGCCCCTGGGTGCACATTGAGCAGCTGGAAAATATATGGAATCATCATGAACTGATAAGAATGTAGTGTTTGTAATATTTACTTTAGTTAGCAAGTCGATGAAATCATGGCTCCAATAACGTGGATAATGCACCGGCGTCGTCAATATATGTTTCACCTCCGCCAGTCCTGTGTTCGAGTGGACAACGAAGGGTCGCACATTGGCGCGCATTTCGTACGCAACTACGCCCAGTGACCACCAGTCCACCGAGTAACTGTAGCCAGCTGTAAAGGGGGGAGGGCTTTTGGATTAGATGACCAGCCACATCGAGCTTTAAAGTTAGTCTTCTTACCAATCTCCTCTAATGCGCACATGAACACCTCTGGTGCCATATATGGTTTGGTGCCAGACATGCTGCATGCCAGTCCATCCTTTTGCAGTCTCGTCGCTATATTAAAATCAGTCAAGTGTGCGTGACCTAAAATAAAAATAAAAATATTAATTTTTCACAGTTTTGTCGAAAAGAACACTCAAGATTCTCTTATTAGATAATACTGCCATATTTCCTTATGGATCAAGATTTGGTAAACATTTTGAGTGACGTGTGGAAAGAATTCATTGCTGATCGAAAGAGTAGACCTCACTGAAAAGTGCTCCTAGTCCGAATAATTATTTCGGGCAGGGTTTCTTCATTGACTCTGTCAGCTGTTAAAGTGTCTTCTTCAAAGACTGCTGTTCCTCTGATCACTCACAACCCGACAAACTGTAAACTGTTCAAATGTACGACGCAATGAACGTGTTGCGAGAGCTAGAAGTTAATAGACTTGTATATAGATTTTGGTCTCAGAGGGATGTAATGGGCGAAGGCAACACCCAATTCCTCTTCTCATATCCACGTCGTAGACTCTGGAAACGTGAGCAAGCTCTCGTGTAAGATAAGGTACCCAATCCTTGTGTGGTCTTAGGTAAAATAGAGAAAGCTTCAGAAAAGCCACTCAGATATATACGATTTAATTTATCGAAGACGAATTGGCAGCGTCTGTTCACCAGAGTTGCGGCTATGGGCGAGCGTCAGTCTTGAAGTTAGCTGTTCGCTATATAAACGTATAAAAATTTAATGAAGACTACTGCAGATGAATGAAGGATTATGATTTAAGGGCATGTACTTGCGAAATCCGGTTCCTTAATTGTGAGGCTGCCGCTGCCCAGCTGTTTGTTGTCCTCGTAAAACCAAAGGTTTACATTACCACCATCCAGGAAGTGCGATGGATGGGGTAAGGACGGAGACGAGTAGCGGCATTTATCATAGCGACCATATAAAGGAGTGCAAATTTGGTGCCGAGTACAGGCATTCATCCCGATGAATGAACATTTCGCCACAATTGGCATCAAAGTGAAGTTCTTCAACTTATCGCTGATTTGGGTTCATGCCACGATAAAAGGGAAGGATGATGCGATCAGCTACTGCTGAATGCTGGGAATGGCGAATACCACAACCGATAATACAATTAGCTGTACGAGATATGCCGAGACATTGATCTAGTTCACGCTGGCTGAGTCATATCATCCGAATGGTTGAAAGCGCTCCTTTAAAATACTTCGATGCAGTAGTCGCCAGTGAAAAGAGAGTAAGGGGAAGCCCAGATTGAGAAGGAACTGACTGTGCTTGGCGGCTATAATCAGGTAAGCGGTGCCTACGCTAGTAATGAGGAAGCTGGCTGCAAGTGGCTTACTTGCGTCTTCCAACTATGTACTATTAGCAAATTGTTTGCTCGACTCAATGAATTATTTTATTATCATTCACTACTCATTTGCTCTTTACTCAGCTGATTCTACCTTACCTGGTAACCATAGAGTGGGAGCGTGCCAGAACCCGAACTGCTTCAAATCACATTTAAAGGCGCTAAATGCGATGGCAGTATGGTGAGAGCTCAGCCAACGCGAGCAGAGTTTTAACTTACAGCGACAGAAGAAAATATTATACAAAAGAACATGTTTCGGAGAGTGCTGTGACTTTAAAGCGAAAAAAGGATATGGTGAAATTCTAGATTAAAAATTCACAGTGTATCAAATGTACTGTCTACAAATGCATAGACACGAGCATATGTAAAGGTAAAAACAAAAAATACATTTATATTGTTTTCACTTGCCAGAAGCGCTATGCATTTAAAGGATATAAAACATGAATATATTTTTTTATTGACTGCCGCTGAGTTGATATTGATTGCCAGTTTTCCAGAGAAATGAAAGGGGCAAAAACATTGACAGAATTTTTCATATGACGCTGACGGCAAAACTAACTGACTCAACTGCTAGGTCAGAGCATTCCTGCTTTGTTGCTTTGTTTTTGTATGCTTGGCTAAAAAATGTAAAAAAAAATTTAACTGACACGAAGGATTCAAATACAGCATACGGCGAGCTTTGCTTGGAGAAATTTGAAAATTATGAAAAATATTATATTAAAGTACGTAATATCATCGTGATCGCGGTAAACGAGTGGTTAGCATTGCGTAGTACCATTCGGAAGACTCGCGTTCAAACCCTGGTTTCCTACTAACATCCAAAAGGGTATAGAAAATTATTATAAATAATTTCATCCCCTCCGAGTTTATTTCTGACATGAAATAAAGGCTCCTCATAAAAAAAACCATCAGCTGCTCGGAGGCGGCGTTATTTGCGGTCCTCCATTTGTTGGAAAAGCAACACGACGCAAAACCACAAATTAGAAGATATCGCTTCAGCGGTTGCAAGTTTATCCATTTTGCGGTTTCGAAAGAAAACGCATTGAAATGCATTTCAAATCGTTTTTTCCTGAATTTTTTTTTTTCATTATAAAGACTGAATTATACGTGTATGTCAAACACTACATCATGCAAGTGCTCAAGAATCAAAGATTTCGCGTAGTCCTGCAAAAAACGGTCCAACGGTGTCGAATTGCCCGATCTCGGTGACCAATTAACATCGGCAAGACGAGGAATTACGCGGCCGGAAAATTTTTCACGTAATAAAGCCATATTCGCTCATATTCGCATATATTTACCAGGTGGTGACAATGAGAGTCCAACCGTTTTAAAAGAAGTAAGATCCAGTCAGACGTTCGTACCAAGGAGCAACAACAACAATGCAGTAAGTTCATATATATATATAATATACTCACCCCTCTTTAATTTTGCTTATTTAGGAATCACCCGAATGAGAAATGTGCCACCTCTAAGAAGAAAATTTTGTTCGAAAATCGTCGCACAATAAACGTATATACGGTATTGTGAAAGGGAGCTGGTCTTTGTATGGAACGTGTAAGTCCGTTATATCTGCTTTCTCCAGGCTTGATAAAAATTGATGCGAATGGGTCTGGTAGTGAATGAGGACAAAACGATATACCTCCTGTCATCCAACAAACAGTCATCGTATTCCCGACTTGGCTCCCAAGTCACTTTTCACAGTCTTGACTTTGAAGTCGTAGATAATTTCATCTATCTTGGAACCTGCCAACAGGTGCTACTTTAGACTAAGTAGGCAATTGAAAAGTAAAGTTTTCTCCCGACGATCGAAAACCAAATTTTACAAGTCCCTCATCGTTCCCGTTCTGCTGTATGGTGCATAAGCATGGACGATGACAACATCTGATGAGTCGGCGTTGGGAGTTTTCGAGAGAAAAGTTTTGCGCACAGTTTATGGTTGTTTGCGCATTGACAACGGCGAATATCGCAGACGATGTAACGATGAGCTGTACGAGTTATACGGCGACAATGATTTAGTTCTGAGAATCAAGAAGCAGTGGCTCTGCTGGCTAGGTCATGTGGTCCGGATGGATGCGAATACTCCAGCTTTGAAAGTTTTCGATGCAGTACCCGCTGGTGGAAGCAGAGGAGGAGGAAGATCCCTACTCCGTGGAAAGACTAGGTAGAGAAGGACCCGGCTGTGCTTGGTATTTCCAATTGGCGCCAAACAGCAAAAAAAGGAAACGAATGGTGCAATGTTGTTAAATCGGCTATAATCGCGTAAGTGGTGTCTACACCAGTAAAACAAACAAAAAAAAAAACAAAACGTGTAAGTCTAAGTGCAAAGCTCGTCATAATGTGCCGTAAGAAAGTCTCAGCCTTTCACTACACTGTCACTGACAGCAGCGATATTTGGGGTGAAACGAGCAAAACCATGATTCACAGGCCTTTACAATATATCTAACAGATCCCTTCTATTAACTTTTCTTCAGTAGTTGAACGACTTTGTGCCATATTACCATAATATCCTCTTAAAACACGACGCGTTGTGCGACTTTAAAAGGATTCATTTTCATAAATGCTCATTTTTAACTAAAACAAAACAGTTTTTGTTTGACAGTAGAGTTTGGCATGCATGAAAATACAGCCTACAGAACACACTTTACAAATGGATAACCCTATATTTTGGTTTTGGCTTTGAAAGTTTAATCAAATATTTAATTTTAATTAAATTTTTTTTTGTTTTTACTAACCTTCACCATCCAATAGAATATTATCTGGCTTTATATCCCTGTGGAAGGTACACAAAAAAATAAATAAAAATTTTATTTTACGTTAATACACAGTAAACCAACCAACAACGCCAACTTTACCCACCTATGTATGACCCTTTGCTTTTGCAAATATTCTAAAGCACTTCCCAACTCGCACACTAATAAGGCAACACTTTTTTCGCTGAATTCCACCTGTACGATGAATAAAATGTTAGTATTAATGACGGCGATAAAATGGGGTTATATGTAGTTTATAAGAAGAAGAGAGTACGTATATACATACAAATGTTTATGAGTGTAAATATATAATAAAAAAGTTATTGCACTCACCCTATTTTGCAGATGATATCTTAAATCACCACCAGTCAGCAAATCACAAACCATAAATAAATCCTCCTCATCTGCGTTCGATAGAAATTTCAAATGGCAATATTAAAGGAAGGATATAAAATTATGTGAATATGTGTGTAGCAAGAAATAAAAATAAAATAATATAAAGTGAAAGAAATTTCTTAAATTAATTTTATTTCATTTAATTTTCATTAACTTAATTTAATTTAGATTTCGGCTGAAATGAAATTCTGAAAGACTTTATTCAGAGGAAAAATAAAGAAATCTGAATATTTCATAAATTTCATAAATTTCTAAATATGCCAATTTCTATTTATTATTTTAATTCTATGTGCCTACAACTTCAGAGTGCTTAATTAGAGACGGAGAGATGATTTGCACGAAGTTGTAGTACGAGTCATATGAAGAGGGAAAAGTTACAAGAGGTCTGGGAAAAATGTGTTGCGTGTGCAATCTATATTTATTGCTTTCTCGAGTAGAGAGATCAGATTTTTTAGGTGAAGGTTGTTCCGAAAACGCTTGTGTCCATAAATAAAAGAAAAAAAATATAAAAGCTTAGTTTTGCAATTGTGTGAGCATCTTATCCTAACTGTAAGCATTGGATAATGCCGGGCGGTTTTTTTGGAAATGTGGTTTTCAAGACGAAATTTATAAATTTAATGGTATGACCACTATAGCTTTACTATAAAGAAACGAGTTGGCCATTATGTTTTTAAGATTATTTCGGGCGAGTGACCGATTAAATTCCAGTCGAGAGGCCTGATTTTCGACCACTTTTTGCAGCGATTGGAGACGTATGTCAGCAATAACGTGCAGAGAAATTTTTTCCAAAGCCGCAGTTGTCTCAGGATTATCTGTGTGGACGTGCAACTCCGCGTACCATCACAAAAAATAGTCCAGCAGTGTTGAAACTCATAATCTTGGCGGTCACGCCATAGCACTACGATGCAAGAAAATGCGCTCACCAAAAGTTTTTCAAATGTCGTCCACATCCACATTCTCCAATTCAGGCAGGAAAATATGATTAATCATGGTTATATACATTTCCCCATTCACTGTAACCTTAAGGCCAGCTTAATTTTTGAAGAAATATGAACCAACTTTTCTTTCTGCCTATAGACCACTCAAAGCAGTGACTTTTGAGGATGTAACGGTGTCCCAATAATGTCATAATCTTATTTATTAACGTACCCATTCAACCAAAAGTAAGCTTCATTGCTAAATAAAGTATTCTTGTGAAAATCGGTTTCGGAGGCTATCTTGTTTTGGGTCCATTTCTCCATTTCTTCGGTACGATTCTTGAACCACACGATTCATTGAAAACCACAAAGCCAAAATAAATACACCTTCCGAATTTTTACAAAAATTTTTACAATATTTATCAAATATTCCATTTTCGAAATTTACAAAGGCGATAAATTAACTTTATTTTTATTTTTTTTAGACAATAAATAAAAGTTTGCAAAAAATATGTTCACATAATAAAAATTGCAAGAAATTACTCGTAAAAAAAATATAAAAAATCTCTAATATTTTATAAAATTCACTGCACACCTCTGTAAATAGACTGACGGACAAGCGCATACACCCGTACTTACCTTGAAATGAAAACCACAAATTCACAAGAAATGGATGCTCCACCGATGCAAGCAATTCTACCTCCTTGATGACGCCACCTAGTGCACCACGTGATTCACACGCCGAACGACTAACATATTTCATGGCATAAAGTATGCCGCTATCACGCTTTTGTACGATGCACACCTGGAAGTAATATGTTTTGAGTACAAGAAGAAGAAGAAGCAGAAGAAGAAGAGGAAGAAAAAATTAAATGAATAATCACAAAAATGAGTGAGAATATGCTTGTGATATTTTAGTTTGAAGAGTTACAAATTTCCTGCACGTTGCGGCTTAGCTTTGATAAATTGCCATGGCGTATACGTAACGTACAAAAAAAAATCAATTCTAGAGCAAATATAGAATCCCACGTATGTATGCTTAATTAACGCTTGCACACACACGTATGTACATATGGATGCTGCTATGTAAACGAATTCAAGCACCAAATCTCAAACGCCCAACAAAATGTCCATCAGTCCGACTCATCAATAAATTTGTCTTTTTGCAGAAGAGAAAAAAAAGAAAAATGTTTTCCAATTGTAAAGCTGTCATTGACAGCAGTGAAGCAGAAGACAGATATACAGTGGTGTGATTGCATTTTTCCAATTTATCAAATTCTCACGCTGAACTACAGTTATTTAAATCACTCACTGTCATTTAGTTTAGCACTGTCCTGTATTTTTACCTGTCTTTATCACATTATTTTATTGTTCTTGGTAATTCAACTTTAAATCCATCGTTTAAATTTGTTTGTTTCTGCAATTGATTTATTTTTTTAGATTGATTTATTATTATTTATTTATTGGAAATATTCTGCCTCCAGTGTGTTTTAAATCAGATAAACTAAATTCAATATACTATTATGAAAGCAAAATAATATATTCTTCTCATTCTTTACTGACATTGACACCGTTTATGAATTTATAGCCGAGTTGACTACAGTGTGTCATTCATTCCATATTTTCGCTGTTTGACGCCAGTTGGAGATACCAAGTACAGCCAATTTCTTCTCCACCTGGTTTTCCAACGGAGTGGAGGTCTCCCTCTCCCTCTGATTTCACCGGCATCGAAAACTTTCAAAGCTGCAGTATTCTTATCCACCCAGTATACGCCGTTCTAAATGTCCAGAGGTCCATAAATCTTACACAAAATCTTTCTCTAGAAAACTTTCAACTCCGATTCATCAGATGATGGCATCGTTCATGTTATTGGAAGCACATAGCGGCACAGAAATAATAAGTGACTTGCAGAGTTTTAATTTGTTCATCGAGAGAGGACTTCTATAATGAGTCAGCGTTAGATTTGGAGGTTGACATTATTATTGGTGTTGATGCTGGTTCCAAGATAGACGAAGTTATCTACGACTTCAAAGTTAAGAAATATTTCGTTTTGTCCTCGTTTATTACTAGAACTATATGCTTTGCCTCCTCATCCAGCCGGAAGAAAGCAGAGCTCACGACGAGGTTGTTAAGACCAATGTTGTCGATAGGCGTTAGTACGCCAGCAGCTGTACTTCTCTAAACAGCTCTGTAGCTGGTATTGTTTTCTCCAGCAATAAATTAAAGATGTATCGGGTTGGTTCAATTTTGCAACTTTCGACAATTCCAGGACATCTGTGTACTATGTGTGGTTAAAATATCTCAAAAACTAAGGAACTAGTTTTTGCGTACGAACAGAAGGACAGACGGGTATGCCTTTACCCACTCAGTTCGAAATTTAGACCCAATCGGCATACATTTTTATTGGTCTTTTTATTCTCCTTCTGATACTTACATTCTTCAGAGCAAAGTTTTTCATAATTTTTATATATGCAAATCTTTATATTGACGAGTGCATAAGTTCGTGCCCGATTTCAAGTGCACACTAAAATTGTATTCACCATAATATTCGGCAATCCACTCCCAACGTTCAACCAATTTACGGATGCCTGATTCATAGAAATCGCGCGGTTTCTCGTTGAAAAAGGTGTCAAGGTGGCTTTTAACGTCTTCCATTTTTTTAAATTTTTCACCATTCAAATTTTTCTGCAGTGATCGAAACAAATGATAATCAGAAGGTGCAATGTCGGGTGAATATGGGGGATGCGGCATGATTTCCCAATTCATCTCCTTCAGTTTGGGCAGGGTCGGTTTTGCAACATGTGGCCTGGCGTTGTCATGATGGAAAAGAACTCCTTTGCGATTGGCCAAAATCGGACGTTTTTCATTAATTGCTTTCTTCAATTCGACCAATTGCTGACAATACTTGTTGGCAGTGATCGTTTCTCCAGCTGGCAAGAGCTCAAAATAGATCACGCCTCGGATATCCCACCAAATGCACAGCAGTACCTTCATCGGATGCAATCCACCTTTCGACATCGGTTCTGCCCCTTCGTGTGCCTGTTTCCATGTTGTTTTGCGTTGAACATTGTTGTACAGGATCCATTTTTCATCACCAGTCACGAGCCGATCCAAAAAAGGTTCGTTTTTGATCCGTCGAAGCAAAGAAATTGCTGTTAACATACGGTCCACTTTGTTTTTTTCAATCAACTGATGTGGCACCCATGTATCGAGCTTCAAAGTGTACCCAACCTTTTTTAAACGACGAAATGCAGTTGATTTGTTGATGTTTAATTCACTGGCAACCTCTTCCGTCGAAATACGTGAGTTATTCGCAACTAAAGTCCTTAGAACTTCGTCATCAAGCTCAGAAGGCCGTCCACTGCGAGGTTGATATTCGAGGTCAAAATCTCCAGAACGAAATTTCGCGAACCATTTCTTTACTGTGCGGAGTTCTGGAGCACGGTCCAAATAAACTTCGCGAATATCTTTAGTTGCAGCGCCTACTGTTTTCCCTTTGCGGAATTCGTATAACATAATATAATATGACGCATATGATCTTTTTCGTTGTCCATCTTCCATGCGTCTTTTCACTAAGCAACTCAAATCAAAATGAAGTTATTTTATGCTTGACTTACAGTTCGGACTGTCACCTCTCCAACGATATATAATATGTATATATTTCTTTCCCGAGCGCCACTCTCAAACGATTCGAACGGCATCCAGCGGAATCGGGCACGAACTTATGCACTCATCCAATATATGTAAGATATTTAATAAGAAAACAATATAATTCGCTTACCTTGCCAAAACTACCCTTTCCAATGGCGCGCAATATTTGAAAATGATCAAAATTGACTATAACACCAGTACCAGCGCAGCAATGTGTTTTAATTATATTGAAAAAGACAAAGAAAAAAATATTATTATATTTCACATTAATGAATATCTTTTTTAATTTTTATCTTTCCGAACAGTTCTTAAATCCGATTGGAACTGATTTCGCATTGATTTAGATTGGATTGATTGATTGATAGATTGATTGTTTGGACCTTAAAAGCGTGACTTCATACCCGACAAGTCTGCAATTGACCAAATAATCAACATGCGCCAAATCATGGCAAGGACCCGTGAAAATAAGATCGAGACACGCCGACTCACCAAACAAGCAGTCAGCGCATTCGTGTCTAAGATTCCACGGCACTTTTAACAGTCATAGTTTGTGAACGCTGTCGGCAAAAAGTGTTTCCCAGAGAAATGTTAAGGTGGCGGTTTATATAAGAAGTTTTTATGGCATGTCGGAAATACACTCGGTTGCTAGTCGTCGAAGTGAACTGAATGTTGAAAAATTAGTAATAAATATTGCTCCGACCAGGTTGCGTGCCTTGACACTTTTGCTAACCACTCGGTTAATGTGGCAACTATTGAAATACAAAACAAGAAATTCATTGAATAATCGGACTCGAGCGTAAATTCACACGATTATGCAGTTCCGAATGGATTTAATTCCGCTTCCTATCGTATTTCTGATTAATTATTAATAATAAATATTAAATTCGTTTTATTTTAGAATAATATAAAAAATTGAGTACAATAAAGTAATTTGATACATGCATATAAAAACTCTTAGGTATGTGTAGGGGGGGGGGGGGGTACAAATTCATTCGGTCCGATTAACTAACTGGTTCGAGAAAAGACCCAATGATTCAATAGAGGACATAGATGAGTCATCTTATTTATTATTATGAGATGAGAAGTGGGACTGAAAATACTTTGAATGATTTGTTTTTTATTTAATTTTTGCAATAAAAAATTTTTTTTTCTAATACTAAAAAAACATACCGAATTAATTTGTACCCCCAACTTGTATATTTGTATTCACTTACATGAATACTATTATTAGCGCTCATTACCAACAAGGAAATAAAGTAGAGTTGCTTATGTTACAAATTACTACAATTTCGTTAAATACTATGAGTCATAAGGCGAAAGTCAAACTTGAGAATGCGATTGATAGTATCAAAGTAAGTACGCCGCTAATTACATCAATTCATATTAAACTACTATCAATGAAATCGGCAGCAAATTTATGCAATCAAATTATCGGCCTACAATTCCAGCATAAATTAAATTGACCATAACTTGTTAACAAGGACACGTGACTTCATATGCGGCGATGTATGGGAGAACCATAAGTTATTTGTGAATACTTATATATATATATAAGACGACATAAATGTATTAAGAGAATGTCTTAAGTTTTATGTTGGACCGTTTAAATTGGGAGAGTTAAAACAACAATTAATCTTCGTAAAAAAATTGCTTAAATCTAATATAAAGAGTGCTTTTGAGGGTTTTCAGTTTGGCTTGCCATTTCATATTGCATAGACTTACTCCGGAGCAAGGTTTGGAAATAGTACTACTTTATACACAAAGCAATGGTTTGGCTCCCGCTGCGTTAAACATAAATCGGTTTCGCTCTAGTAGATAATGGTCATCCTCAAAGATGCCGTACAGTGCAGAGGTTAATACTGCAATGAAGCAGAGTATCGAAGAAGACCCGTATGAAACCTACTGCCATTGAAGTATCTTGGTTTACATTCTTTAAAAATCCAACTAGTGCAAGAATCGGTGAATGGCCCCAAAACAAGATGGCCACCGAACCCGATTTTCCTAAGAAAATTTTATTTAGCTGCGAAGCTCACTTTTGGTTGAATGGGTATGCTCAATAAAATATGTTTAGTGTATTCTCTGGCTAGAGGGAATCAACGGTGCATATTTTTTTTAAAAATGAAGCCAATGAGGAGAGTCATGATTAATGACATTTTCTTGCCTAAATTTAAAGATTTTGATGTGGACGATCTTTGGTTGCAACAATACGCTTCATACGTTTCATGTCAGACAACCAACGAAATTAATCAACTTATTGAAGGAAACTTTTGGTGAGCACATTAGCTCGCGTCGTGGCCCTTCTCAAGAAAGTGAGATTTAACACCGCTGGACTATTTTTCGGCGGATTATGGGAAGGCGCTTGTCTATGAAGATAAGTGCAAAACGATTGATGCCTAGGAAGAGAATATTCGGTGCGTTTTTATCCACATTGCGGTGAAAAGTCGACGAAAAATTAGCCTTCCAGGCGGAATTTTTGCGAGCCAGCTGCAAAATCACGTTTTTAATGAAGCTAATTTGTTGGCCATAACATTAAATTAAATGTGATATATTTCTTCTTGAAAAGTACAGCTCTAAAAAAATAACCCTTTGTGTGAATATTTTAGCAAAAATGGAATGCCCTACAAAAATCATATTTAAAGTATTTTAAATTTTTAATTTCAAAATTATACTTTTATTAAATTCTGCAAATATATTGCTCATCTGCAGTGGTCCATTAAGAATAGTACTTTTTTTTGGAAAAACCGCATTGATTGTCTTACACAATAATATTTATATATCCGACATTCCAATCATGCAACTCATCATACTCACCATCATCATCGCTGAGCAGACTGGCATCTGATCTGCTCGAAGAGTTCGCCCCCATACTGCATAAATATGTGCGTGTATATATTACAAAATACGCCTTTGTTTGCGTAAATAATATATTTTTCCTTGCATTTATGTTTAATTAAAATTGTTTTTTTTCTTTTTTGTTCAATTGATTGTAATCAGTTGCTAAGTTTCGTCGGGAAAGTACAAATTTCCGCTAGCTTATTGTACATATTGCCTATACATACATAGATAGTCGTTCATGTATACGAGTATATATACAACATATGTATAAAAACAATCAATTTACAGAACAAGTGAAAGCATCCACCCTTGACGCCAACTCGCCAACTCCCTAAGACCGTTAACAACAGCTCTATTTGATTGTGTGATAAAGTGAGAGTTATACTATACATACACATATGTACGAGTATTTGCGAGCAGACTGTCAATGTATATTTCCTTTGTCAAAGTTATGAGCGCTTTATTTGATTGATGCATGCGATTAAGTATTGACATCGCTGCAGGCTATTGGAATATCTTCTTCTGATGCTTTTCGTTTGTTTCAAATTTACGGTGAGCATTTTTCTTTGCCAAATATACATATATTTACATATTTGTAGTTTTTACTATTTCATCTCATTCAAATCGTATTTGTGCATTCACTACATATATTACTTCATACTGGTTATCGTATCGTATCGTCAGCTCGGAACTGTAATGAAAGAAAAACGATTAAAAAGGATTAATAATTTTTTTTTCAATTGTGTCGAATGGATTGTCTGCGGTTAATCCACAGTATGTAAAGAAGGGTAAATAAATATTATTTTATGCTGAGTACATGTACACGCACGCAGACATACATATCGTATGTACATATTAATTAATATTTTTCAGTGAAAGAGTGGTTATGTATGCATAATTATGGTTATGTGTATGAAGTGAAGAATAATTTTGATACTCATAAATTAATAATGAAAACTGCCACACAAGCACGAAGGTAAATCAGGTATATAACTTTTTCATTAATCTCAATACCCACTAGCTGTTGGTGTATTGGTTACTAATATCGTTAAATTAAGGTTTATAAATTTTTTCTTTATTTTATAATAATTGAAAATTCGCCATAAAAAAAATTAAATAAATATTAGGTCAAGTAAAAAGTTCATTCGGTTTTTATCCAAGAGATGGCTTTATTGTCCATAGTACTAGTGTTAGAAATATAGCTGAAAAAATTAATTTAGTTAATGGGACCGATACTGTAAACGAACGTGTAGCATCAAAGTGGTTTGCTAGATTCCGTTCCGGTAATTTCGATGACAAAAATGCACCAGGTTTTGCTGAGTGTCTGTTGGGATTGGCAAGGAATCATCTACTACGAGCTGCTCCCCTATGGTCCAACGCTTAATTCGACCCTCTACTACCAAATCAAATGGACCGCTTGAAGACAGCACTCATCCAGAAGAGGTGATTTTTGATCATCAGAGGCCGAATTGTTTTCCATCAGGACAACACCAGGCCACACACGTCTTTGGTGATGCGCCAGAAGCTCCAGGAGCTCGGATGGGGTCCTAACGCACCTACCTTCCACTTTATAGTCCAGACCTCGCACCAAGGGACCGCCATCTTTTCCTGTTCATGGCGAACGCGCTTAATGGTGAGAAGTTAGCCTCAAGAGAGGCCAGTGAAAATTGACTCTCCGAGTTTTTTGCCGAAGGGACGCAGCTTTCCACGAGAGGGGAATAATGAAGTTGGCATTTGATTGACAACAAAGTTTACGAACAAAACGCCGCATATTTGACTTAAATCGGTCAAATGTACACAAAGTTATCATATTTTGAAAAATCAATAAAAACCGAACGAACTTTTTACATGACCTAATATATGTCTAATAGAGTTTGCCTGCATGGTTCTAATCGAATTCATTAGGTATATTATATTAACAATTTATTGTGTCTTATAAACCATTATATATGTTCCACATATTAAGCAAAACCGATCCATCCCATCGATAACAGGTCCACTTCTCGAAAAAAAGTGTTCTTGGCAGTAATTTTGATCCAAAGCTACTGATATATCAAATTTTGTGTAAGTAACACGATAAATACAAATTTTTCAAATATATCCCTCCCAGATCAATTGCCGGTAAATCCTTCTTACCTTGGTCTTGCATCAAAGGCAGAACACACCGTTCAAGTTTCAGGTCTCTATGAACAGTGGCTTTGGCAGTGGGTTGATCCGTCAGTTATTCAGAACAAAACCTATTTTCTATAGAAAGATTAGTAATGTAAAGGTATGTTTTCTATTTTCTGTTATGAGTATTTCCAGTGGATTTTGGAAAACAATGCGGATCGTCAAACTGCAATGGAGAGAAAGCAGGCTGTCTACCACGCAACGTTCCGATCAACCACTACATCGGGGACATGGTATATGTGTCGAAACTTGAAGAGGAACGCAAGACTCATGTTCAGACAATCCAAGGAGATTTATGCTGAAAAATTCTACGAAAAGATAAGGTGACTTACGGAAGATTTGAAGACCGGGGAAACCTCTAATAGAACCCAGAAATACGAGCTAGTGACTGATGCTCAGAGTATACCGAATTTAAGGAGGTAACATCTCTCCAGCCAGCTGAAATGTAGATAACTGACAATGTTATCTTTTCAGAATATGGTCAGCTGAAAGTATGCCCGAACATTGAAATATCAGTGTGCTCTGGTTAATCCACAAAAGGACAATTTCCAGCCTGCGCCATTTACCGTGAGAGAAGGCTCCTCAATATCGCATATTAGGTTCTATCGAGCTTATGACAATTTATTGCCTCCCGTCAAAAATCTGATTGGAACTTATCGGTGTGGCTTTAGACCTGGTAAGTCAACTATTGACCAGATATTCACTATGCGACAAATCTTGGAGAAGATACGCAAAAAGATGATCTTCTTCTTTAATTACTAAGCAGCCTTCATCTGGAAAAAATAATCCGAGCTGCAAGGATGAATAGAGAAGGTACAATCTTTTTAAAGAGTGTACAGCTGCTGACGTGGTATTTATCGGCATCATTGGGATCAGCAACCGTAGCGTGAGTGATCTGTCAGATGGTGCCTTTTTGGCGCGATATTCGTTGCGATATGCATCTTGAGTTAACACATTAAAACGACTGTTTTCGATGTAAAGTGTCACTATTTCAGCGCGTTGTTTCGGTTTGATGCGATCCATGGGAAAAATGTGAAAGTTATTCAGTACCCTGTACAATTGAGACGAAAAATCGTCGAACAAAAACTAAATTCTAAAAGTCGCTCCTCATTCCTGTTCTGTTGTATGGTCTGGTGGCAAGCAAGCGGCGTTGAGAGTTTTCAAAGTATTGTGAGCTATATGGTCCTTTGCCCAATGGTTATGGCGAATAACGCAGCCGATGGAACGATGAGCTGTACGAGATATTCAGAGACATTGACATTGTTTAGTGAATAAAGAGACAGACGCTACGCTGGCTGGATCATGTGGTTTGGTTGGATAAGAATACTCCAGATATGAAATTTTTAGACGCAGTAACCTTCGGTGGAAGCAGAGGCAGAGGAAGACCTCAACTTCGTACTTGATGTTTACAATTGGTGTTAAACAGCGCAACAATTACCCGCTCCGTGCAAAATGAAAAAGAAAATATATATATACATTATGTAAACATGTATAAAAAAGCCAGCTATTAAATGGAGGGAAAAATGTTTTTTTTTTATCATTTAATAACAATTGTTGCTTATCTTAAAATCATTTATTATTCCTAATTTTATTGAATGAAGAAAATGTAGACTCAAAACGAAATTATATTAAGTATTATTCAATAAAGCAACAAAAAGGAAAAAAGCAAAATGAAATTAAAGTACAAAGCGTTCCCCTACAATGCCACAGCGAAACAAGCAATTTGAGAAAGAGTAAAAGTAAATTACAAAACAGTACAAAGGCAAACAAACAACTGTACAACAATAGGTTAAGATGTTTACAGAAAAAGCAAAACTACAGTGAATTGTACTCCTACGTCGCTTGAAGCAGCATGGGCTGGTAAACACTATGAAATGTTGGTTCAAACTTAATAATAATAACACACAACTACAACACTCAATGGCTACTTACTGTGGCCACAAAGAATGTGGGTGAACACTAACAATACGGAAATGTTGCTGAGAAGGTAGGCACGCCTTGGACATTATTACATTCAACCTGCTCTTTTATAACGGCTTTGGGATTGTGACAGTGTAAACAAACATTGCGGGAGATCAACATAGAATAGTAAAATATACCAGCTGGCAGATAAATTTATCCTCAGTGTGTTTTTATAAGAGCCATTATTAAGCGGAGCGCTGGGCACACTAGTTATATAAAAAAAAAGGTATAGAATTATGAGCAACCCTTCCAAGTATGGTAACCAACCCGATTGGGGTTTGAGTCGCGACTAAAAAAAGGAAGCTCTTCAGGGGAGCCATTTCAAAATATTTGGTTTAATCTAATTAAAGCCTCTGTTCACTTTGAAACATGCTTTATAGTGCGTAAATTGAAACCTACTCGCCCGGCGAGGGTGCGCGCTGGGCCTCACCCCGTAGAAATCGGCTGTCATGAAAAAATGTCAACAGCTTCGGGACGGCACAAGAACGGACATGAGTAGGTTCTTGTGACGTTTAATATATAATATAATTAGCGCTTTGTAGCCTCTGAAGCGATTTTCGGCCAAGTTACTCATCCAATTTGTAGATTTGCATCTTGATATTCTTCCAACAAATGCAAGGACCTATAATTTATACTAATCCGCCTCTGAATGGCTGATGGTTTTTATGGGATTTTCATATATTATAAAAAATTTCATGTCGAAAATACACTCGAAGCGGTTGTCATTTTCCTCCGAGAGGGGACCGTAATTAGAAAATTTAACTTAATTTTTCATTTAAATTAATTTTCCATAACTTTTGGATGTTGTTCGTACTAGGATTTGAACCCTGGCCTTCCGAATGGCAGCAGGTAATGCTAATCACTCGGCTACCCGCAACGATGTTACAGTTGTGCTCGGTAAATTTGCCATGGTGGGCAAAACAGGTATCTGCGGCACAGCTGTGGAAAAGTTTATTCTCTACAATGAATCAACTCTAAACGGGCAGAGGTTGATCGAGCTCGCTGGGCTCCGAAATATAGTACTTGATTTCAGTACCGGATTCTAGTTTACTTGGCTGTCTCCAGATCGAAATACTCGCAGACAGATTGGTCAAAATGTGATAGACGAATAACATTTCCCCAGTGTTATTGATATGCATATACTCCGAGCTCCGAGAAGCAATCATTGCCTCGGACCACTGTTTTGTAGCAGAAAAGAACGGCTGTCAACAAACGTCAACGGATTGTCTAACTAACGGTCTGAGCGACTTATACTTCTGCTATCTGAGAGCACTCATCAATGCACGATCGGTCTTGCTGATTTGGACTGAGCTGAGGAGGCAATTGAAAAGTAAAGCCTTCTCTGATGAACAAACAGCAAGACTAATTAGCTAGGCCATGTGGTTGGGCGCTACGCCATTAAGAAAGGAGACGAAGATTGGGCGAAACAGTTAGGTGAAATGTTCGATGTTGAGATTGAAGAAAAATTTGATTTCATATGATTCATACATTTTTTTGTAAAATCACAATGGAGCTACCAGTTTTTAAAATATATATTCACGGTGTGTCCTAAAAATAACC